TGGGCGCATGGACAGCATCCTCGCTTTGTGACCCTGGGATGGAGGAGCTTTCGGCTTTCTGTGGCTCGGGGGAAAGCGTAGGCTAGAGCTCCTCGGACTTCCCCAAACTCTTCTGTTCTGGGAACAGGAAGAGCACAAGAGCTTGTCCTGCTCTTGCAAATGAGGTACTGAAATTTTAGTAGCGAGCGAGCGTAGCTTTGGGCCGAGTCCGGTCGATCTGTTGGACTTCTGTTCTGCACGTCTCTAATCTGTGTTTCCTCAACACGCACTGCTTTTGCAGCAGAATGTGGTAGCAGTACAGCTGCTAGGTCTCACTGTAGTGGCATTACATTTTCCTGTGCACAGGCTGTCTCCCCTTCCATTTCATTTCCTGATGGTTCTGTTTCTTCTTTTTAGGTAAACTAAAGCCAACCATGGCCTTCATGTCAGGGAAATTAAGGATTAAAGGTAACATGACACTAGCAATAAAGCTGGAGAAGATGCTGACACAGCTGAACTCTAAACTGTGAGGGGAAAGCCTTACTAGCGGAACAGTGGCCTTTCATATATAGCTGCAATGCTGTTTTAAAATGGTAGTCCTCGTTTTTCTCTGATGCAATGTAAGTATGGATAAAATGTGAGAATTTTTTTAGAGAAGAAGTAACTTTGATTAAGACAAGAAGATGTTTGTCTCTGATTAAACTAATTCCTTCTTGAGAATACATGTATTAGGTTGCAGGTGTTTTATTTTCTTTTGCTTCCCTGGGTCAATGCGGGACACCTGAAGTGAGTTTTTTCCTACACAGTTGCTTCACACGTGTCCGATAAAAAAGGTGGGGGGAGCAAATGTGACTCTGCAGATCTCTTTCTGTGATACAAGTGCCATGCAGAGATTCCTGAGCTGGCTTAGAAGTGGAAGCAATATTCAATTTAGCAGGGCCCTAATTACCCCTGGTAAATGAACATCTCATTAATTTTTTTTTTTTCTTTCCTGATTTTATTTCCTACACTAGTTTTCATACCTCTGCATTGCACCGAGTTAGGCTGCGCAGACATACCGAGTGATACACAAGTTTTCTTTTTGTGCAAAGGGTACACAGGAGCGCACACAGGCTCCCCTGCCCCTGACCGCCACAGCCAAGGTGCTGCCTTCCACAGCACCTCCAAGTAGCGTTATGAGGGTTAACCTACAATGATGCAGCCAGCCACCTCCCCTTCCTTCCTCTTTGTGGGGAAGGATTGAAGCTCGCTAGTGAAAGCATGTGTGCACCCACTCTGTAGGCGGGTGAGTGCTCGCATGGTCTGAAACTTTGTGTGACAGCATCTGCAAAGCCAGAGGCACCAGCCTCTTAAAATGTTGCTTCGGTGTCCTCAACAGAACTGTCCCGAATTTAGAGCATTTTACTCTCCTAAGCAAGCTGAGAAGCTTGCTCAAGACTTAGGACTTCTTTCTTAATTCCCTTAGCAGCCCAATAGTTCACAAGTTTTTAAAGCACGTGCTTGTCTAAAGTGGCTCCTGACCCGTACTGTGAAGGTTGCATCTTTTTTGCTTTAGTTGAACTCGGGTAATAAGACTGAAAACATCAGGTTCACCTCTGTGCCCTGCACTCTCGGGGATCTTGAAAAGCATGAAGATGGGTTCCTTTCTCAGCAGGCAGAAGGGGCTGGCGGTGTGGTGGGAGGCGGGGAGGGAGGACGGGGGTGGCTTGCCCCATGTTGGGCAGTATGGCAGCGCAGGTGAGGGCTGCCCCAGCGGGGCTGTGTGACCGTTCCCAGTCCAGCACCCACGCTGGGCTGCACTCAGCAGCGAGTGCACTCGTCCCTGCTGGGGATTGAGCTGTGCTCCGCAGAGCCACTGGCATGGCTGTCATCCTGGGGCTCCCCGTGACCTCTGCGTGCAGACCTAACTGCCTCCCCCTGCCGCCAGTGCTGCTGGTCTCAGGGGGCCCTCCCCAAAGGCTTTGGTCTCCACTGGGCAGTGCCTGCTTCCCACCTCATCCCGGTGTCTATTGGTAACCGCTCTGTCCTTCACCACTGACCTGCTGGCTCCAGAGCAGCATCAGCCCGTGCGGTTCTGCTGGCTGAAGGAGAGCAGGAGCACTGGCCTGCACCGGGACATGGAAGCAAGGCTGCGTGTGGAATAGGAGGGAGAGAAGATCCAGCACTGGAAACCAGGGTCCTCTGGAGGAGACCGAACATCTGCACTGATGGTGCAGTAATGCATGCATATTGCTGGCCGCTGCAGTGCGCTAAAGAAGCGTTTGCTCTGCCTCTCCATGAAGCAGAAACCACGAGGGGGTGGGGTTGGGGGGGAGGAAGAGCAAGTAATGCCTCAGGACTGGTTTGTGTGTTTGATCTGGAGAAGGTGACTAGCAGCTGAGGCTTGTTCTGGCCTGGATTTGAGGTGGACTCTACTGAATGGTGACTGCTAGGGACAGAACCTTTGGGAAGCTTCACGCTGCAGCCTGAAGGGATGATGGTACCAGCAGCTAAGAACAGGGGGAAAGCATTTCATGTTAACACCTACGGATGGACGCATGTGCTGCTGCTCCCCCAGGCCGAGGCAGCTGGGCATAGAGGCAGCTACGGCTGGGGAGGCTACCTGGCTGGAGAGCAGGGATGGCCAGGTCAGGGGATATGGACCAGCCTGAGATTAGCCAGGGGCTCACATGGGATGAAATGAGGATTTTGCTGCTGGCCTTTCTCAGAACTGCGTGCTGGGAAGCAACTACTGGGAGTGAATTTGAATGTCTCCCCCTTGATCTCTTAGGAGCATTGAGGTGTTGGACTACACCTTTTTCCTAAATCTGAAGGCTTTTTATCTTGAAAAACTGGATACTAGAGTAACTGTCAGGTATAACACTCGCCTGCAACACATCATGGGTTTTGTTTCCATGATGTGGTTTAAACCCATTGGCCTTCGTGTCTGGATGCCCGCTTGTCATCTTCTGTGGAGCCAAGTGGTTTCCAACATCCTCCCGCTCCCCGCTGGACCTGAGGAATTTCGCTTCGAACTGGACTCTGTTCCTGGCCCCGCTCAGATCACGGGAGCCCGTGCTTCCCTCTCACCTTCTGCCCCCCCGTGCCTCACCCAGCCCGCGGCCGGGTCGTCCGTCTCCTGCTGGCCCAGCCGTACCTGTCCCCTCCTCCAGCTCCTCCCCTCGGTCCCTCTCTTAATCCACAGCAGCGGTGAGGTCAGCCCTCGCCCCCCAGTCCTGCACTGCCATGTCCCCACGTCCCCCTTCCCGCGCCATCTCCTCCTCCCTCTGCTGCCTGGCAGAGGCTCCGACCTCCTCCTGCCCTTGCTGTGCTGCCCGCCTGGTGCTGCGGCTGGCAGCTCTTCCACCAGCTTCCACCTTTGGCTTGTCTTTCCCCCTTTGGCTTCTGTGCAGGGATCCCGTGTGACACCCCGAGAGGGCTTCGGGTCTCCCCGTGAGCTGATGCCAGAAGCGGAACTTGCCCGCGGGGCCTGCACCCACTGTACGAATTGAGGCGGGCGGGCTTCACCGCCTTGAACTGAAGTCAGATGAAGCCATGAGCAGACGCGCTAGTCCTCGTGTGCGGGCGTAATGCTGGTTGCTGTTGGGCTGTCCCCGCAGTTCCCGTTGTCACAGAGCTGCAGGCTCCCGCAGGAGCGACGCGTGACCCGGCCACAGGGGCCGAGGGCTCTCTGCAGGCTTTGCAACTGGAACGTCTTCGTGCCGCTCGCTTTCCTCAGGCAGGCGCCCTGCCCAGGGGGAAGCAAAGCTGCTTTGCTGAGAAGATCCTCCCCCGGCATGACGCCCCTTCAGCCTCTGCGCAGGCACTCAGCCCTGGTAAGGAGGAACGCAGGGCTCGGCTGCGACAGCTCCGTGCCAGGATCGTGAGCCTCGTGCCTGCAGTGAGCCCCGTGTAAGCGAGCCGTCGTGCCCGCGCAGAGAGCCGCTGGGTCCGC